TGTGCATTCATAAATTAATGATATTGTAATCAATTATATGCATCCGACTTTGATTGCCTCATCAATTTAATGTTTAGAGGGGGGTGTTTTAATGGTTTTTGAAAATATTGGGTATGCTGAAAATAATCCCACAAGGGAGTATATAAATAAACCCCTTTGAGAAGGGGAAATGGAAAAGGACATAAATACCCCTACAAGATAAACACTTGCCATCTTCTTCATAAGCCCTACTCCTGTCTTCTAAACTCACGCGGCCTCACTCACCATCAAAATTTGGCGCCAAGTTATTTCTGAGACGACGTCGTTATTTGCAACCACCACGACGGCACCGTCACAGTTATTTTTTATTTTTATTTCTTACAATTAATCTAATTTATCATAAATCCAATATTGAGATTGGTTCAATTCCTATTCATCAACATTATTTGAAACAGTTGTAATTGTGAACAGAATCAAAATTTGGGAGGAACCCATGAAAGGAGGAAGGAAGAATTTGAAGAGGGCTGCTGAAGATCAAATTTTGACACTTCAAGATGGTCAAAGCATTATGCAAGTTGTGTCTCTCAGAGGTTCTAATCTAATTGAGGTACCCAATTCATTTGAAGTTCTTTTAAATTTTTTATTTGAATTTCTTGTCTTCTTTTTTGATAAATGTGGTTGCAGTGCAATTGGGTTTGTTAAAATTAACTCTCTTACTATTATTGGTTATTATTATTATTTTTTTACTTATGTATGGGATCTCTTATAGTACCGCACCAGTATCGATATTGGTTAAAATATCCTTTGTATGTTACTTGTTTAATGTATAATGTTACATGTTTTAAGTTCCGGTACGGATACTGATATGGTGTTTTAGGGGAATCCTCTTATGTTCATGTTCTTTTTGCCATGAAGAATTTTAAATGCTTCTTAGTTGCTTGTTTGATTTAAATTTGGTGAATTTGGGCTTGGTGATCATATTCCCAAGTTGTTAATTTTCATGATAGTTATTATTGAGAACATGCTAGCTAAGAATATGTGATTGGTGAGTGGTACCAATTCCCTGTTGTTGAGATAATTGAGGTACCTATTAATTTCATTTTTTGGAATTTTTTTTTTTTTTTTTGAAAGTCATTTTATTTTCTTGATGAATTTAGTTACCGTGCTAGTGGGTTTGTTATTGTTAATTGAATTTAGGTACCAACCTTGTTCATTCTTGTAGTGCTAAACCAAGAAAATTGTTACGAAAGCTTAATATATATTACAGGTTTTACGATTAATGTTACCTGTCTTGCGTTAATATTCAATGTATTAGTGACCATGTTGTTTAATGTGTTATGAGTTCATTTTTTAGGTTATGATGTAATGAGTCTTTGCATTTCATATTCTAACTTATATGTCTATTCTTTCCAGTAACATTATCGGTACAATGTTCTGAGCTTGAAATAGTATGTTTTTTTTTGAGCTTTTGGAACTGATTCAATAAAAGGGTGTCCGTGGTCAGTCCAGTATTGTACCTATAATTTTATTGTTAAATGTTAAGTGTAACTCTTCAAGTTTATCGATTCATGATGTCATTGCAATGCTTTATTTAGAGGATTATATCAGCTGAGTCCAACTTTGAGTCTTTGATCAACTCATTTTTCTTAATTGTGGCACCTGGATTTAGTATTTAATCGAAATAAAATGGATGTGCACTCCAAATTGTTTGAAGTTTGGATACTATTGTTAAATTTAATCTGGTTATGGCCTTTTTGGTTCATTCACTTCTAATGATTTTCCCTTGTACATTTATGTAATGAGATTGCTTCTGTGTTTGCACAGATTTGTTTCTAACCTTCCGCTTTATCTCTGCTATGTTGCCTTTTCTTAAGGTAGTGGACGCACAAGGTGAAAAATCACTTGCTCTGTTTCCAGCAAAGTTTCAAAAGAGCATGTGGATAAAACGAGGTTTGTTTCATATAAAATTGCTGACTTGGGAGATTGGGAGCATCAACTTCTGGAATATGTTAGCTTCCATATGCTTACCCAATTGCTAACATTCTGACGGACTGATAGACAATATTAAGTTGCTTTCACGATGCGCAGGGAGTTTTGTTGTGGTGGATGAAAGTGGAAAGGAAAAGGCTCTCAAAGATGGTAGCAAAGTGGCATGTATTGTTTCTCAGGTTCTTTTCTATGAACAAGTTCGAGCGCTTCAAAAAACTTCAGAATGGTTTGTTTCTTGACTTCTTAGTAACAGCAGATGAAAAATGATGTGCCATACATCTAATTTGTCTTGCATCCTTGCAATTTCCGATGTTAGTACTTGGGGAAAATAGTATCTTAAGTTGAAACCAAGTTTAGCTATTTATTCACGTACTGAACTTAACAAAAGCTCCCTAAAACAGAACTTTGAGATTGAGATACTTGTTCTAGACATACTGGTTCAAGGTGGAAATCCTCATTTTATACCATTCTGATTGTTGCAATTCTTTTACTTTTCGGCTGAATTATTGTCGGTGAAGCTTACTTGCTTATTCCACTTGATGCAGGCCGGAAATTTTCAGATCGACAAATTCAGATGATCCTAACGGAAGTTCAGAAAGATACGCCTCCTGTAATGAAGAAAATAATCGGTCTGATTTGGGTGATAATAATGATGCCGATGATGAAGATGACGATGACGATGACGGACTCCCCCCATTAGAGGCCAACACCAACAGAATCAAGCCATTGGAGTTGCAAACAGATTCAGATTCAGAATCGGAATCAGAATCAGAATCAGATATAGTTTCTTAAGTTATCAATTTTGATGATGTAAGTTTTTGTACCACAAAAATTCAAAGATTTTAAATGAAGCACAACCCTTCAAGCAGTCAAGGGTTGTTATAATGTAAAGATTGCAGCATCATATTACTGGTGCAATTTTTTTATCAAATCATCCTCAAATTAATCTTCAATTGTAAATTATGCTTCAAGTTCTAAAATACATGCTTGTTATTATAAACCAAATGAGTTAGATTATAGTATTGGGGATAACAACATTCAATTTAGAGTTAATGACATTAATCCAAGGTATGATGTAATAACAAAAATCCCCTAAGGTTTCGGAAATAATAGATTTTCCCTTTTTGTTAATGAATAGTTAGTGAGTTGTTAAAATTTACACTGTTATGAGTTAGTAAATATTATCAAATTGTTCTTTTACTGTTTATTTTAATGCTTAAAATTTAATGGTCAGATAATTTTTGTTATTTCTGAAATGTTAGGGAGATTTTTGTTATTATATCATACTCCATGATTAATGTTTAACTCAATTTAGAGTTAATTTATAATAGATACAAATGACTTGTAAAACAGAATGTTTAATTTTCAATCCTTTACAACTAATAAACTTGAGTGATAAAAATGAATTTTCAAGAAATAACCAAATTAATAAGGGTTTTGACAAAAATAGAGAACTTTCAAATAGTACCAAAAAAAATAAAAATAAAGGGAGCTCTCCAAGGACTAAATATCCCTAAAATAAAAATACATACCCTTTCCATATCTGACCAAACTCATTAATTACACCCTCAAGGGTCTATTTTGAGAGCCAAATGTTGCATTCATTCTTACAATAATGCCCTTATGATCTCTAATGGCCTAGGTAGTCTAGTAAAATCACATAAAATTTGTTTAAATGAATTTTTGTGTATGTTATTAGCTAACATTAAATGATATTGATATTAAGTTATATATCATCATATTATGTTGCATACGATGAAATAACATATACATAGTATTACTATAATTGTAAATAATTTTACCTTTTCGTAGTGCATTATTTTGAGGTCATACTATAATATAACTTCAATAATATAATGATTTTTATCTTAGGGATAACAAAACCCTGAGCCTCCTCTACGCTACTACAAGTTCGGCTTGAGATTTTCAAATGAATAACTTGGGATTAGGTTTTAGAACGAATTTTTACAACCTAGTTCAGGCCACATCTGATTATTCAAACCTTACACTGCATTTGTTTAAGTTTTTAAAATATTATTGTATTATGAATACTATTTAATCAAATAGGATGTCCTTGAAACATTTTTGGAAAATATTTATAAAAAATATTTAAATTATGTTTAATCCCTTACATTTGTTAATTTAACTAAACACTATGTATAATAAAAGTTTAAAATTAACAAAAACACTCCCACCCACACAACTATTGCTGACAGTCGGTCACCACCATCGGACGGTGGTCGAAAGTTTCCATAATGACATATGATCGGCTCGTTCTGGTTGATCGTGTACCAACAGCCAAATCTACGGCCATAAATCTGGTCGTCAATGATGTCGTCAATGACGGCCAAGATATGACTATCGTTGATAGTCAGATTTTTGGCTGTCGTTTGACTGTCAATGACATCCAAGATATGATCGTCGTTAATGGCCAAATTTGGCCATCAATGCCCAGATCTTTGGCCGTACATCTGACCGTTTCAGGTCAGATTCATAGTGGATATGGCTAGAAACGATCAGATCGGCGTACGACCAATTAGATTCATCTAGTTGTGTGCCATTTTAGTGACTTCTGGCCACTGTCGGGCGGTGGTGGCTGACTGTCGGGCGGTGGTGGCCGACTGTCGGTAATAGTTGGGTGGGTGGGGATGTTTTTGTTAATTTATAAACTTTTATTAAGAAAAATAATTGTTAAATGTTTTGAGTTGAATAAAAAAGTAATTACTTCACTAGATTGGATAAGATAGTGTTAAAAATTTAAACAAATGCAACCATAGTTACTAAAGTTAATTTTATGTGATGTAATACAAGCTCCGCATAAGGTTTTCGATTTTTCGAAGTTTTGAGCCCGACTCGAGATACCCTTGGTCAGGTCGGGCTTCTTGGTCATCTATTTTGCTTTAGGGGCATATATGGGAATCCACTTAATTTTGACTATTTTGTCCAATATCAAAGTAGGCCATTTTTGTTCCTACCCTTCATGGCTACTTACTACAAAATACCTTCTCTTTACCCGCTATTGGCAACGGTTTAAACCGCCTACCAAACACAAATGCTTCAATTCTCCATAAACAAAGTGAAGTATCGTTTTTACATGTTTTCAAAATCACCCCCAAATCGCTCACCAGGCCTCAGCTTCAAACTCATCAACTCTTACTTGGTCACCGGAGACTTACGACGCGCACGCCAATTGTTCGATAAAATTCCTCAACCAGACCTTCGATCGTGGACCCTTTTAATTTCAGCTCATACGCAACATGGGTTCTCAAAAGAAGCCATAAAAATTTACAGCACATTGAAGTTGAGGAACATCAGGCCTGATAAATTGCTAATTTTGTCGGTCGCTAAGGCCTGTGCCTTGGCTAGTGATCTTGTTAAAGCTAGAGAAGTTCATGAGGATGCGGCCCGTTTTGGGTTTCATTCGGATACTTTGTTGGGTAACGCGTTGGTTGATATGTATGCGAAATGTAAGAATGTTGATGGGGCGAGAAGGGTTTTTGATGATATATGTATTAAGGACGTGGTTTCATGGACTTCGTTCTGTCGTTCTTATGTGAATTGTGGGCTACCAAGGCAAGGGTTGGAGGCTTTTCGTGAGATGGGATTAAATGGGGTTAGGCCTAATTCGGTGACAGTTTCTTCGGTTCTACCTGCTTGCTCTGAATTGAAGGATGTGAATTTGGGAAGACAAATGCATGGGTTTGTAATGAGGAATGGACTGGAAAGCAATGTTTTTGTGAGTAGTGCACTTGTGAATATGTATGCCAGTTGCTTAAGAATTAGGGAAGCTGAATTGGTGTTTAGTAACATGTCTCATCTAGATGTTGTGTCTTGGAATGGGATATTAACGGCATGCTTCTTAAATAAAGAGCTTGAGAAGGGTCTTGCTTTGTTTTATAAAATGAGAAATGAAGGTGTGAAACTGAATACTTCCTCATGGAACGCGGTGATTGGTGGGTGCACACAAGGTGGAAGAAATGAATTAGCTCTTGAGTTACTTGGACACATGCAAGATTCAGGGTTCAAACCCAATCAAATCACAGTTATAAGTGTCCTACCTGCTTGTACAAATTTGGAAAGCTTAAAGGGAGGCAAAGAGATTCACGGTTATGTCTGTAGGAACTGGTTAATCGAGGACTTGACAGTCACAACAGCCCTGATTTTCATGTATGCTAAGTGTGGTAATTTGGAATTGTCGCAGAAAGTTTTTGGTTTGATGCCAATTAAAGATACTGTGGCTTGGAACACAATGATCATTGCAAACTCAATGCATGGGATTGGAGAAGAATCATTGTTACTCTTCCGTGAAATGTTGGATGCTGGGGTCAGACCAAATTCTGTTACTTTTACTGGTGTTCTGTCTGGCTGTAGCCATTCATGTCTTGTTGATGAAGCGTTTTTTATTTTTAATTCAATGAGTAGGGATCACTCAGTTGAACCTGATGCAGAGCACTTCTCTTGCATGGTTAATGTCCTTAGTCGTGCTGGTCATTTAGAAGAGGCATATGAATTCATACTGAGGATGCCCAAAGAACCAACTGCTAGTGCTTGGGGAGCATTGCTTGGTGCTTGTAGAGTATATAAAAATGTTGAACTGGGAAGGAAGGCAGCTTCGCGGTTGTTTGAGATTGAACCAGGCAACCCGGGAAATTATGTGTTGTTATTTAACATTTTTGTTACTGCCAAACTCTGGGGTGAAGCTTCAGAAACTAGAAAAATGATGAGAGATAGGAAAATCACAAAGACACCAGGCTGTAGTTGGGTCCAAGTGAGAAATAAAGTTTACACTTTTGTAGTTGGTGATAGGAATAATACACAGAATCATGAAATTTACAAATTTTTGGATGAGATGAGTGAGAAAATGAGGTTAGCTTGTTATATGCCCAACACAGAATTTGTTTTGCAAGATGTGAATGAGGAGGAGAAGGAGGAGATTCTTTGCAACCACAGTGAGAAGCTAGCGGTTGCTTTCGCAATACTCAATCTAAATGGAGAATCATCGATTCGAGTGTTTAAGAATTTGAGGATATGTGGGGACTGTCATAATACCATCAAGTTTATTGCCAAGGTTGTTGGTTTGCAGATCATTGTAAGAGATACCTTGAGATTTCACCATTTCAAAGATGGGTATTGTTCTTGTCGTGATTTTTGGTGATAATTTGCTGTATATCAAAAGTCCTTCTCAGAGCAGTTTGATGAAATGATCGCGGTTTGAGCATCACATGATGATGTGCTATCATGTTTTAAGACATCATATTCTCCAGTGCTTCCATAATCTACCCAATATTATGCCATTTTTTCCCCCGATTCAGGTGAACAGAAGTCATACCTAATTTGTATTTCTTGCTAAAGCACCATATTTTATGTTTAATACTTGTATCTTATAGTAGAGAGATCCTTGGTTTTATTTTCTCTTATTCTTATTTAAACATTTATACTTTAATCTATTACTTCAGGAAATTTTTTTCATTCTGATGGTAGTTTTGTGTCATTTCTGAAATTATATGTTGTTCTTCGTCTGGAAGAACTTTCTTGTATAAATGTGTATCTTGTTGCAGTTTTTTTGAACATTTTTCTATGTTGGGGCAGGCATTTGAGCTACCAGGTCAATTATGGAGGCACACGAAGATCAATCAAATTTCAGCATGGAGATCAATCAAATTTCAGAGGGATATTGTGGGCATCTTTTAAGGTATATGGTAATGCTCAAACTGCTCCTATATTTTCGTTGCCAGATGTTGATACCTTAGGTCTCAGGTTGTGTTTAAGATTGTGTTCTTTTGGTTGTTTTAAAATCATTTGTTTTATTTTGAACAAAATATGATTAATAAGTAATTGAGACATGATAAGATACTTGGATCAACCCTTCTGTATTTTTTCAATGTATCTATCATGCCCTTTCAGTTAGGTACATGATACCCTTAGTCTTTATAAATATGGGAAAATCTGAAATTTGGATATTAATAGTGAAGAAAAAAAAGTAAATAAATAAAATAAAAAAAATCTTGCTGCCGTATAACAATGACATCTTGTTTGATAGGTTTTTAGATTAGTCTAAACATATGATATTGATGTATAAACATAAAAAAATTGTACATAAATGAGTGAAGGAACAAAAAGAAGAAAAAACCCTTATAATGTTATAATAATATGATGCGTGTGACATCTATGTGAATTATATTTTCTTTTGGCAGATATTATTATAGAAAATTGCAATTTTAACACCAAAGTGAATCCAGACCCAATAGTTATAACATTTAAAAGACATGAGTCTAATATAAATTAAAACAGTTGAAACAAATTAATGAGAACTGCAATCTAGTTTCAGAAATAACTTCAAAGCATGCAGCACAAAGAAATGTGCTAGCATCAGTCGCTATATCTGCGATAGTTTCTAACACTTCTCAAAGCACAATAACATTAAAACACAATTTATAAGACTAGAGTTTGAAATATGTGGCCCTATTTCAATATTTGAGTTTCTCTTAAGATACCTCAATAAATATAAATAACTCCAATTGTCTGTAAAGTCAATGGGCCAACTTATTGAAGAATTAAAGTCCTGCAGCCAAGTCCGACTCTCACTGTTCATTGCCTATCCATGAAAATCAAAGCAAATAAGATAAGTTCAAAGGTATGCTATAATATTTTGAAATGACTAAAAGACTTTATTATGTGTATTTGACTTAAACAAAAACATACTTTTTGGGTGGATAAACCTTTAGTAGAATTTATGCTAACTATATATTTACAGTGCTTCTTAAGGAACTATTTACTAAGTGCTTCTCTTAAAATGTTTCCTGATAATTTTGTAGAATGTGTTCTCAAACAAAATTAATTTATGTAAATGTAGATATTTTTCCAAACACATACTTAGGGTTTGTTACAATGATAACAGAAAAGAATGAGGGTGTAATGTACAATGCTTTTATAATAAATAGGTATGAACTTTCAAGTAAAAGTGATTTCAGTAAAGTCATTTGAAAACTCTTTATGAAAATCATTTGTTAACTACTTTCAAGAGAAACAGTTTCAATGCCTTTTCTGATTCAGAAACTTCTTTCTGAGAGAACACATATTATATGCTTTTAAAATGAACCTAAATTTTAAACTAGAAACTACAATATAGATATACAAATATTTTCAACAATTTAAAATGTTTTAACTGTACAAAAAATACTCTAGAATGTACTATAAATTGGAGATCGATCTTACCATTTTCACGACTTGCCAAAAACATTCGCAAATGAGGGTCTACAGGTAAGCCCATAGCTTCATACATTGGATCATAAACAGAGTTTTTGAAATACCTGGTAATATGTGAAAATTACAGTCATATTTATTCTGATAGAAAAAAAACAAATATGAGGTTGCTTCAAATAAATAGAACATTTATTGATTGATTCAGTCCATGCCTTGAATTTGAAGCATTAAGAAGACTGTAGGTTTGGCCTAGACTGCCTTGTTCTTGTGGACTCCAATTAAATGGATGAAAGTTTGATGTTGGTGGAGTGTTGTCTTGCCATGGCGTTTTCATCTACAAGATTTTATAAACTACATCAACAATTTATGTGCTCGGAAAATTAAAAAATAAAGTAAAACAAATAAACTCTTGGATCAAATCTGGGATGTGCTCAATAAACACGCCTTGGACTGGAATTTATGTGATTATTATCATGAAAATTATATAGCTATTTGTGAATAAATAAACAATGCAATTAGATATAGTCACTTGGAGAATTTATAGAAATCTTTGTCAATATAGAGTAATTCTTGTTATAGCATTGCCTCGTACAATTAGCTAGAGTGAGGAACTTTTGGTGTATAAAAGCAAATTAGAGGTGAAGCTAGGATGAAAAAGTTTAACATCAAATCACTTATTTTGAGTGTAGGTTTACGGAAACAATACCTTGCTGTTTGAATTGGTTGGTATGCCATCCGATTGAAGAGGAAGTGATAATTCCATTCCCTATCAGCAAAATTGTAAAAGTAAAAGTATTAGTTATCTACATATATTTGAAGTTCGAAAATGGAGTATGCTTAATTACCTTTTGAAGAGGCATGTTTGGTAGTTGAAATGGATTAGTTCCCCCACTCGGATGAAAGCTGGTTGATCCTATCGCTGAACCCAACAAGCCTTGGAAGCTAAATTCTTGTGGCCTAATCATGAAAAATAAATATCTTCTTATAAAGATACTTGCAAAAATTTATCACTTTCGATGGTATTCTGATTAGTAAGTTGTTGTTTTAATTGCTGTTGATGTTGATAGTTTTTCAGCTTTGTAAGCGAGTTGAGATAAGCTAATCAGAGATTAGCCCAACCTCGACTTAATTAATTTACATAGTAGCTCAACTCAATAGGTGTAAGCGTCCCTAGCGTTAAATCAGTTTTAAGCTATACTCTCACAAAAACTTCCTACATGGATGTGATAATGTTGGACTACTCATAGCAATCAAATATAAGTTAAGAACTAATTCAATCCAACATATCATTTGTCAGCCAAAAATTAAGCTAGAAAACCTTTATGTTGATGGATTCTCATATCCTTTTAGTTCTTGAAGTTCAATGATTAAGCCATTTAAAGTACTCAGATCTATTTATGTAATAATACTCGGACATATATTTATGCATGCATACATATTATAAATATGCAATTTACAATTATATTTTCATGTCAGATAGTATAAGTTCTATATGAACATATGCAGATACCGAAATGTAGAAGAAGAGGGCTCATGCATGTTGATTTGATGTTGGGCATTCCTGTTACTCCTCTGTGTCCTCATAAAGGAAGATCCACTATTACCATTTCCTGATGTTCTCTGTACAAATAAACCATGAATAAGAAAATATAAAGTTAGTGAGTTTATAAGCAATTCATTATTGATAAAAAATTTCATTAACCTCTCTAAAGATAACCTAAATACAATGAATTTGAATATTGCATGTTCATTGACAACCTCCCTTGAACTCTTAATATTTGTTAAATCCTCATGTGGACTTTTTTTGGAAAGACTGCACCACAAAGAAGGCTGCCTACAATAAAATTTATCCTGAAATAAGACAATAATAATGGGCTTAGAAAATGATCACCGGTATTTGAGAGTGTTGGTGATGAATCTGAGGAACTGGAGATCTGGAACTGGAAGATGATTCCAAACGAAAGTCTGATGGCAAATTTGATATGGGAAGGTGATAGCTATTGTTGCTTGAGCTCCCAAAAGTGTTCCTAGACATTCTCAGTGATTGATCCATAGGACATGGACTGCCATGAGTTACCAATTGTGAAGGAAAACTCAGTTGATTTCGATTGCTGATATCCATGTCTTGCTGGGAATTTAGTGGTTGAAACACTCTAGCTTCTAGTGGTGTCTCAAGACTTTCAACCTAATCATGCATATTCTTAATAGTTTAAAATCATAGGTGTATTTACTATATGCAGAGTGATTAGATTATAGTGTTAAGTCGACAGCAAGACATACCAGGCGTCCTGGAGGATAGAGTTGTGATGATGTTGCCAAAGTACAATTAGGGAGCAAATTTCCTGCTTGCTTTGATTGTGGAGTGCTAAAAGGTGCAGGGTTTTCAGTGCTTGGTTCAAATGATACCTGGGGTCTGAAAAGAAGTTTACCAAAATTGCAAATCAGAACAAACGAACAAAGTTCGATGATAAATTATAATATGTAAAAAGTAAAAAACAAGTACATGTACACTAATTTTGCAGCTATCGAATTTGTGATAAATTACATTGAATTCTCCGGAAATTTGGTCTAAACATAGGTTGATGTGAAGTCTGCATTTTTTGTTGATGACCTCCTTGCAAGGGAGGTTTTTGACAAACATTGATAAAATTCAGGGAAGGTTTCTAATAATTTGAAATTCAGAAGATTTTGGTGAAAAAATATATAAACTTCAAACCTGCCTGTATGTGAACCAAACCTAATAGTAGGTTGGTGAAAGTTATCCCTCTACTACTTGAAAGTCCATTGAGAGTGTTGATTTATTTTATCTTATTATTACCATTGGTTCATTCCTATGTTCTAACTATATATTTATGACAAAAGCTATTGTAAGTATTATTGAAAGATGCATTTAGCCATTTACCTTTGAAGAACTGATGTTGCAGATTGATTCAGATCTTGATCAGTGTTGGGTTGATTCGGTTGAGGTTCATTACTTCCATCTGAGGATGAAGATGATTCGCTTGCAGGTTCTTTTTCCACATGCTCCTAGGAAATCAAATTTGAACTACATTAATATGCATTTTGTTTAAGTCTTATCTTTCATAAGATTTTTTTCAATAATTTAGAGAATCTTTCCCTCTTGTGATTCATGAAAAGCTTCATATTCAATTATAATGCTAAATATCACAAATTTAAATTATACTTTAACTTTAATAATAATGAATTTTTTGAATGTTATTTAGAAGAAAAATTCTATAATAGATCTACAGTTGTTAGACATTATTGAACAAATATTTCCAGAAGAAAAGAAAAAAATGAAAACACAAACTTAGCATATGCTAATTACAACTAAATTAAATTATTATTCAACAATTTTCTTTTTCGCTTAGATTCGGTAACTACGGAAACAATTAGTCTAATGTTTAATTCATCAAGCAACACTATATATATAGAGTTTATTTAACTGAAATTAATTTATAATTCAATGCTTAAATATAGATAATTAAGATTTAACAATAATTACCGAACTTTCAACCACATGTCTCTGTGTTCCCCTGAGAAACTTTTCACGAATATCAGCTGATTCAGTTGACATAATGAACTTTGATAGTGGCTCAAGATTCCTACAAACCAACAAAATCAAGAACAAATTATTACTAAAAATTAAGAAAAAGTATCAATGACATCAGGGTTGACAAAATATTTTTACGAACAAAGTTGCGGATAAAAAAAATTATATCATGTTTAGCTAAATTAGTGAAGTTGTGTGTATATGTTTGAAGCTTTCATTGAAACTGGTAAAATCTAAACAAACATATTTAGCACAATTCCATAATCATATCAGNTTTAGTTCTTGAAGTTCAATGATTAAGCCATTTAAAGTACTCAGATCTATTTATGTAATAATACTCGGACATATATTTATGCATGCATACATATTATAAATATGCAATTTACAATTATATTTTCATGTCAGATAGTATAAGTTCTATATGAACATATGCAGATACCAAAATGTAGAAGAAGAGGGCTCATGCATGTTGATTTGATGTTGGGCATTCCTTTTACTCCTCTGTGTCCTCATAAAGGAAGATCCACTATTACCATTTCCTGATGTTCTCTGTACAAATAAACCATGAATAAGAAAATATAAAGTTAGTGAGTTTATAAGCAATTCATTATTGATAAAAAATTTCATTAACCTCTCTAAAGATAACCTAAATACAATGAATTTGAATATTGCATGTTCATTGACAACCTCCCTTGAACTCTTAATATTTGTTAAATCCTCATGTGGACTTTTTTTGGAAAGACTGCACCACAAAGAAGGCTGCCTACAATAAAATTTATCCTGAAATAAGACAATAATAATGGGCTTAGAAAATGATCACCGGTATTTGAGAGTGTTGGTGATGAATCTGAGGAACTGGAGATCTGGAACTGGAAGATGATTCCAAACGAAAGTCTGATGGCAAATTTGATATGGGAAGGTGATAGCTATTGTTGCTTGAGCTCCCAAAAGTGTTCCTAGACATTCTCAGTGATTGATCCATAGGACATGGACTGCCATGAGTTACCAATTGTGAAGGAAAACTCAGTTGATTTCGATTGCTGATATCCATGTCTTGCTGGGAATTTAGTGGTTGAAACACTCTAGCTTCTAGTGGTGTCTCAAGACTTTCAACCTAATCATGCATATTCTTAATAGTTTAAAATCATAGGTGTATTTACTATATGCAGAGTGATTAGATTATAGTGTTAAGTCGACAGCAAGACATACCAGGCGTCCTGGAGGATAGAGTTGTGATGATGTTGCCAAAGTACAATTAGGGAGCAAATTTCCTGCTTGCTTTGATTGTGGAGTGCTAAAAGGTGCAGGGTTTTCAGTGCTTGGTTCAAATGATACCTGGGGTCTGAAAAGAAGTTTACCAAAATTGCAAATCAGAACAAACGAACAAAGTTCGATGATAAATTATAATATGTAAAAAGTAAAAAACAAGTACATGTACACTAATTTTGCAGCTATCGAATTTGTGATAAATTACATTGAATTCTCCGGAAATTTGGTCTAAACATAGGTTGATGTGAAGTCTGCATTTTTTGTTGATGACCTCCTTGCAAGGGAGGTTTTTGACAAACATTGATAAAATTCAGGGAAGGTTTCTAATAATTTGAAATTCAGAAGATTTTGGTGAAAAAATATATAAACTTCAAACCTGCCTGTATGTGAACCAAACCTAATAGTAGGTTGGTGAAAGTTATCCCTCTACTACTTGAAAGTCCATTGAGAGTGTTGATTTATTTTATCTTATTATTACCATTGGTTCATTCCTATGTTCTAACTATATATTTATGACAAAAGCTATTGTAAGTATTATTGAAAGATGCATTTAGCCATTTACCTTTGAAGAACTGATGTTGCAGATTGATTCAGATCTTGATCAGTGTTGGGTTGATTCGGTTGAGGTTCATTACTTCCATCTGAGGATGAAGATGATTCGCTTGCAGGTTCTTTTTCCACATGCTCCTAGGAAATCAAATTTGAACTACATTAATATGCATTTTGTTTAAGTCTTATCTTTCATAAGATTTTTTTCAATAATTTAGAGAATCTTTCCCTCTTGTGATTCATGAAAAGCTTCATATTCAATTATAATGCTAAATATCACAAATTTAAATTATACTTTAACTTTAATAATAATGAATTTTTTGAATGTTATTTAGAAGAAAAATTCTATAATAGATCTACAGTTGTTAGACATTATTGAACAAATATTTCCAGAAGAAAAGAAAAAAATGAAAACACAAACTTAGCATATGCTAATTACAACTAAATTAAATTATTATTCAACAATTTTCTTTTTCGCTTAGATTCGGTAACTACGGAAACAATTAGTCTAATGTTTAATTCATCAAGCAACACTATATATATAGAGTTTATTTAACTGAAATTAATTTATAATTCAATGCTTAAATATAGATAATTAAGATTTAACAATAATTACCGAACTTTCAACCACATGTCTCTGTGTTCCCCTGAGAAACTTTTCACGAATATCAGCTGATTCAGTTGACATAATGAACTTTGATAGTGGCTCAAGATTCCTACAAACCAACAAAATCAAGAACAAATTATTACTAAAAATTAAGAAAAAGTATCAATGACATCAGGGTTGACAAAATATTTTTACGAACAAAGTTGCGGATAAAAAAAATTATATCATGTTTAGCTAAATTAGTGAAGTTGTGTGTATATGTTTGAAGCTTTCATTGAAACTGGTAAAATCTAAACAAACATATTTAGCACAATTCCATAATCATATCAGGAAAAAAAAAAAATTCAATTCTCAACAATCTTCTTGTATAGATGACTTAATTAATGCAATTTTTTTTTTTTTTTTTTTTCAGTTTATGTTTCCAAAACCGTATATAACATGAACTATATAGCCTTCAATGTATGAAATATTCTTGAATTCTTGATTTTTCATGCATGTAAACCACTTATGTGTAAAACCTTTGATCTTGATGCTTAAGAAAAACAAAAACTTTGGATGATTGATTAATTTTCTTGAAAAAAAAAATTCTTGTAAAGGACAATAGAAAAGGACTTTCCAATGAAATTTTAGAAGGGTTACGAGGAAATGAACAACTTTAAAGGGTTATCGATGTCACTCATACACATTAAAAGAAAACTTTGTTGATTGCTCAACTTCACAGTATTGTATCATATAAACGACAAAATAATTCAAATAAAATTATTGGTGGAAGTTACTAAAATTTCGTCAAATTAATAAGGAAAATACAAATCAAATACAAAGAATATAGATTTAACTTTCAGAGGATCGCCACGTGAGAACATTAATTATGGTGTAACAAGGCAATCTAGAAAAGATAATCCATGGATTATATGTCATGACACGTGTGCGTTTATTGTATCTAGAATATTGGTCTGATCGATCTATATTGAACATTAATAAAGATGTAAAATGGGAGTAATTGTCTATCGATCAATGTTGATCCAACAATATAGAAAATGAGGTTAATTGAAACAAAAAGAAAAATATAGTGAACAAGCAATAAGTTTGACAAGCAAATTCATATAAAAAGCATATATGAAATAATATTAAGCTTATGCAAATCATATATGGGTTAGTTGTATAATCAAGCATTGAACAAAACTATGTCAAAACCATAAATGAAGATTGTCAACAGTAATCATAAAAAGTAGAAATGTTTTGATATCTAATAGAATGAGCAATATATACCTAAAAGTTAATATAAAGAGAAAAGTATAAAACAAATAATAGTATTCTCTTATATGTTCTAGTAGTTCCATAAGCCGAGCTACATACCTTCAATCTTGTAGTTGAACTTTGAAAAGAATTAGATGAGTAAAAAACAATGAACATAACTAATTGAAAAGAGTTGCATAGCATTGGAACATGAAAATGATAAGAACAATGAACAAAAGGGAAGAAAACTATATACAATATAGGATGGTAAGATTAGTGATTATAATCATGTCATAATACCTTCTTAGTTAAATAATTGCTTCACTTAGAAAAAGATAGTTGATTGTTAACAATGGCATTCAAAACATCAAAAGACCTCTATACTTATACTGAACCATATGTTCTAGAATAAATGTGAATACAAGTAGGCTGAGATATTTAGTAAAGTGATTGCAATTAATGTGAAAAGGTAAAAGACACAAATGCATTATTTTTCATAATCTATTGAGTATCCACATTAGATTATTTTTCATAATTGCTAAATGGGTATCTTATATGGGTTTTCTAAATTTACCTCTCAAATTCACATGTTAAGGACATTAAAAAGATGATTAGTAAAATGTTTTGTTATTATTCAAGAATTTAAGTTAATCTTTCCGTTAGTCTATTCAAATAGAGTGATTAATATGATTACTTAGTATTTAGTGTTGCTTAACGTGTAGCCTCCTTCGCTGTTTCATACTATGTCAATTGACATCTTAAAAAAATAAGAATTTTATGAAATGTCCTTACAATCTCTCTTGGCATCTTTGCGGCCGACAATTTAAAAGAAATACACACAATTATTTTAAATTTTAAAGTTTTTATTTTAAATTCAATTTAAAACATAGACATTACAACAAAGGTCAATTATGGCAAAGATTTAATGATTCTGTTTTTATTGCCAAAAAATGAATGAGGATGAGTTGGACAAATTACTTTTTTTCTTAATATATTTATGATGATATGGTCAATAACCTTTCTTAGAAAGTTCTTTATTGAATATTGTAAATTTCCATATATGAAAACACCAACCTGGCCAACAGTTTAGAAAAACATTTTTTTTTTCTAAAAAAAGGCATGTAGCAGAAGTGGGTCTGTAAAATCCACAGATTTTAAATTGGATGATTAACTCTAGCAAAAAACACTTAAGGGTGCGTTTGGTTTGTATTTTGGATAGGATTTTAGGGATAGTATTGGGCTATTGGATATGGGAGTATTACGAGGTAAATTTTAAAAATTTATAAAAAAGCCTTTAGGTTTACTAATTTAACTAAAGACCCTAACATATAAAATGACAAAAACACCCCACCACCTGCAGTGTCAGATTCCGCCACCACCCGGAATCTGGCCGAAAATTTCGTTACGGCACAGACTTGTCGGATCTGTGCCGTAACACGTCGTTATGGCCTTTTCTGGCCAGATCCACCGTGGATCGGCCGGAAAAGGCCAGATCTAAGGTCTGTTATGGCCATCAACGGCCGGAAAAGGCCAAACGAGGGCCATCTTTGGCCGTCAGCGACGGCCAAAGATGTGGCCGTCGTTTTCGGTCAACGACGGCCATTTCTTTGCCCTTGTTGACGGCCAGATCGGCCTTTTTCGGCCAGATCCGTGGTGGATCTGGCCGGAAAAGGCCACAGCGGTGAACTTCCGGCCATTTCTGGTCGAAAGTTAGGCCGTTGTACAGATTCCGCTATCACCGACGGTGGTTGCCAGAATCTGACAAGTTGGGTTGATGGGGGTGTTTTTTGTTAATTTTTAAACTTTTTTCAGGGGTATTTAGTGAAATTAATAACCTTATGGGGTTAAAAATAATTTAAAAAATAGGGTAATATTTTTAGAATATTGTACCAAACGCTATTTGGAAAATAGGATCCAGAATAGGGATAAAAATATTAAACCAAACGCATACTAAGTTTTGTTCATATTGGTCGTATTGTCTTAAATGTTTAATTAATATATTGAAAGATTGTTTAATGACATTAGACTTCAAATTGTATAATCTACATGAAATGTAACCAGTTTCAGATTATGGCTCAAAATTGTCATATAACTGTCAAATATATGATGTTAGCCTACACATATTGACTTAGTTGTTTTTTTTTTGTTTTGGATTTTGACTTTTTGGAATGAACATTAGATTATTTTGAATTGTTACAAAGATAAAATAATCACTTTGTTCTCTCTATTCTACTTTCAAAATTATAATAGAGAAAGTTTAATAATAAAAAAATGTTGTTAGAAACTTTAAATACTAGAATGTGAAAACTAGAAAGCCTGCAGACCGAAACAAAGTCTTTCTATTGATGATAATCATAATACGTTTATGTAACTTTTCAGAAGTGTCCTCTTGAAGTGAATTCTGATAAATAATTTACATTCTCCTCACACTGTCATAACATGGTGAATCTAAGTCCGTCTAGATTGAAGAACATCAAGCACATTTACAAGGGTTGCTGGCCAATATGATCTTTACGAGTTTCAAGTTCCAATGTGATTGCTGTGTATTATATAAATGATAGTGATTCTCTTTGTCTACCAAACTGTAGAGTAACCTACATGGAGCTTCTTAAACTATCAATAAGGTATACAATCTTAAGAGTGTTGTTACATATGCTTCTCATTTCTATATTGTGAGTGACATGAATTTGATTTAGGATTGTTATATCAATTGAGATATATATTTATATATATTATATAATATAATGAATCAATCTTCTCGCCTAAGAGAATATTATGGAATGAGAGACACTCTCTAACTCTGGCCAAAAATATAATAAAATTGATTGTGTGTAGTAGATTTGCTTTTCTACATATTGATTTCCTCTTCCCGAGGAGAAGAACATTTATGCATAATTTAACTATATAACATATCTTCATTTGATTTTGAATACATTAAGATTCATCTAACATAAAAGCATGTTATAAAAGAAAGTAGCCTTGGGAGCAAAGGCGAAGGATGGAATCATTCATTTCCATGATGCATTACATACCTTCTTCATACCATTTACTTTCCTTTACTTTATGCTACAACCTTTCTCTTTCTTATTTCATATAATATTCCTTCTTTTTTATGCTTTTTTCTCTTACTTTTATCTATCATTACACAAAATAAATTATCAGAGTAGTTTAATACAAGAGTTAACATGAAGTAGATTTAAATATATATCTTGCTATACTTATTATTTCATTTGTTGTGATAAAATTTTCCTTGATTATACAATTCCTTCAGCATTAAGTAGAATGAAACCTTGTACTGATTGTGTACTTTGGAATTAATATGTTGTATCATAATCAAACTTTAAATATTCTACAAGGTAAAACTGCAACTTAGTAACATCAATTATAAATTTGCAAAACACATTATTGTAAACCATCCTGTGACCATCAAAGTTATACTAAGGGTATCAGTCTAAATTGTAATTTTGAAGAAGAATAAATTTGCCTAAGCATCTCTAGTGATTGATGAGATTGAAGAGGAATGTATAAAATTGATTTTGTATTCATGTTCAGGTGAAAATAGAATACATATTGATTGACAGCATCAAATAAACTTGAAACATTGTTGATCGATTTTATATGATTTATACGTAAATTTGATTGTGTATAATTTGGTTTTACACCCAGCTCTGTATTCTTTATGCTTGTATAAATATTGAATTTTTCTTTCCGAAGACATTTCTTATAGCATTTCTACATTAATTATAGATTCTAACACATTAACATGTTATAAAAGTAAAGAATGATGTTGAAACGAGGATGGAACCAAGCAGCCTGACAACAAAGGCAGAGGATGGAATCATTCAAAAAAATTCAAGATGAATTACATACTTTCCTTCTTCATATAAATCACTTTTCTTTTTGTGCTTTTCTTTTCTCATCATTTCTGAAACTGTGTTGAAATCATATATTTTATCCTTCTTTCACCTTCAATCATTCAATAGAATCTCTCTTTCACCTTGCTTGAAATCATATATATTTACTTCTTTCACTTTTGTGCTTTCTTTCTTCTTATCATTTCACAACACTCAATCATTCATCCATGTCTTTCTTCATCTGATTCTGTTTGTGTCCTCCTCTTTGTTGCCAACTAAGCCACAAAATTTCTCCTAAACTTTTCCTTCAAATCCTTTCTTTTATCCTTCTCTCACCTTCAAAGAGTACTTAGTAGGAAAAAAAAAAAAAAAAAAAAAAAAGCCATGGAATTTCTTTCTTCAATTACTGTGGAGGTCGGAAAGTGCTGGTTCGCAGCCGCTGGTGATCAACTTGGTTACTTGTTTCATTACAACGACAATGTTGAAAACTTGAAAAAGCAAGCTAAGAAGCTGGCAGATAGCAAAGACATGGTGCAAAAGAAAATCGAATTTGCTGAAAGAAATGGAGAAATCATCTTCACTAATGTTCAAAGTTGGATAGCTGAAGTTGACAATATTTCCACAACCGCTGAAAAGTTTTTTGAAGATGAAGACAAAGCCAACAAGAGGTGCCTCAAAGGGTGGTGCATTAATCTCAAACAACGTTATCAATTCAGTAAGAAGGCAAAGAAGCATACTCTGGTGATTTCTGATTACCTCCAGGAAGTGTGAAACTTTGAGAGCGTGTCTTGTCCTGCTCCTCCATCTGGAATTATATCGTCATCTAAAGTATTTTATTCTGGCCCTTTCGAATCTAGAAATTCAATCAAGAGGAAAGTTATGAAGGCGTTGATTGATGATAATAATGTCAGCATAATTGGAATATGTGGAATGGGGGGTGTGGGTAAAACCACACTAGTTAAAGAAATCAGCCAACATATAAAAGAAGCTAAGATGTATGATGCTATAGTGATGGTGATTGTCTCTCAAACCCCTAGTATTATGAAGATTCAAGGTGATATTGCTGAAATGTTAGGTGTAACAAACTCCTTGCTAGTGAATTCTGAATTAGCAAGAGCAAGTTTCCTATGGGACAGAATCAAGGAGAAGGAGCGGATCCTCATTATTTTAGATGATGTTTGGGAAAGAATCAAATTGGATGAGATTGGTATTCCTTTCGGGAGTGACCATAGAGGTTGTAAACTTTTAATCACCTCTCGAAGCAAAACTGTATGTAATCAAATGGAGTGTCAAGAGATATTTACAGTTGAAACTTTATCAAAACAGGAATCTTGGATACTTTTCAGCGAGATTGTCGGCTCAAATATCGAAACTTCTGACATAAGCTCTTTTGCAAGAGAGATAGCTACTAAATGTGGTGGCTTGCCACTTGCAATTGTGATAATAGCGGGAGCTTTAAAGGGCAAGAACAAGCATGTGTGGAGAAACGCGGCCCGACAACTTCAAAAGTCCAACCCATCTGACATCCCAGGCGTGGAGGGGATCTTATTTTCATCTTTGGAGCTGAGCTTGCATTATCTAGAAAAAGTGGAGTCAAAATCACTTTTCTTATTTTGTAGCTTATTTCCAGAGGATTACGAAATTCCAATTGAAGTTTTAGTGAGATACGCGATTGGTCAAAGGTGGTTTAAAGTTGATGAGACAATAGAAGATGTCAGAGATAGAGTTCATGCTATTGTAAGTACCATCACTTCTTCCTTTCNTACTTTGCCAATTGACATCTTATAAGAATAAGAATTTTACAAATTGTCCTTACAATCTCACTTGGCATCTTTGCGGCCGACAATTTAAAAGAAATAAACACAATTATTTGTAAATTTTAAAGTTTTTATTTTAAATTCAATTTAAAACATAGACATTACAAGAAAGGTCAATTATGGTAAAGATTTAATGATTCTGTTTTTGTTGCCAAAAAAATGATTGAGGATGAGTTGGATAGATTACTTTTTTTCTAAATATATTTATGATGATATGGTCAATAACCTTTCTTAGAAAGTTCTTTAATGAATATTGCCAAATGTGAAAACATCAACCTGGCCAACAGTTTAGAAAAACATTTTTTTCTAAAAAAAAAGGCATGTATCAGAAAATGGCTATGCAAAATCCGCAAATTTTAAATTGGATGATTTGGTCTAGCAAAAAACACTCAAGTTGTTGTTCATATTGGTCTTATTGTCTTAAATGTTTAATTAATATATTGAAAGATTGTTTAATGATTTTAGACATCAACTTGTATAATTTACACGAAATTGTTACCAGTCTCAGATTATGGCTCAAAATTGTCATATAACTGTCAAATATATGATGCTTACACATATTGACTTAGTTTTTTTTTCTCTTTTGGATTTTGCCATTTTTGGAATGAACATTATCATTTTATTGTTCGAAAATTGTCATATAACTGTCAAAAAATATAATAAAATTGTTTGTGTAGTAGATTTGCTTTTATAAATATTGATTTCCTCTTCTTAAGGACAAGATTATTTCTGCATAATTTAACTATATAATATATCTACATTTGATTTTGAATACATTAAAGATTCATCTAACACAAAAGCATGTTATAAAAGAAAAGTAGCCTTGGAAGCGAAGGCGAAGGATGGAATCATTCATTTCCAAGACGCATTACATACATTTCTTCTTCATACCATTTACTTTTCTTTGCTTTATGCTGCAACCTTTCTCTTTTCTTATTTCATATAAATATTCCTTCTTCTTTTTATGCTTTTCTTTTTTTACTTCTATCATTTCATTACGCAAATAATATATTATTAGAGTAGTTTAATACAAGACTTAACATGAAGTAGATTTTAAATATATATCTTGCTATACTTATATGAAATTACTTATATATTTCATTTGTTGTAATAAAATTGTCCTTAATTATACAATTCCTTCAGGATTAAGTAGATTGAAATTTTTGTACTAATTGTGTACTTTGGAATTAATACTTTTGTATCATAATCAAACTTATAAATATTCTACAAGGTAAAACTGCAACTTAGTAACATCAATTATAAATTTGCAAAACACATTAATTGTAAACCAATCCTGTGATCACATCAAAGTTATACTAAGGGTATTGGTCTAAATTGTAATTTTAAAGAAGAATAAATTTGCCTAAGCATCTCTAAGTGATTGATGAGATGGAAGAGGAATGTATATAAAATTGATTTTGTATTCATGTTCAGGCTGAAAATAGAATACATATTGATTGACAGCATCAAATAAACTTGAAACATTGTTGATCGATTTTTATATGATTTTATACGTAAATTTGATTGTGTAGTAAATTTGATTTTATACCTAGCTGATTGTATTCTTTATGCTCAATATAGATATTGAATTTTTCTTTCCGAAGACATTTCTTATAGCATATATCTACATTAATTATAGATTCTAACACATTAACATGTTATAAAAGTAAAGAATGATGTTGAAACAAGGATGGAACCAAGCAGCCTTGACAGCAAAGGCAGAGGATGGAATCATTCAAAAATTTCAAAGATGAATTACATACTTTCCTTCTTCATATAAATCACTTTTCTTTTTGTGCTTTTCTTATTCTTATCATTTCTCAAATTGCATTTGAAATCATATATTTTATCCTTCTTTCACCTTCAATCATTCGAATAGAATTCTCTCTTTCACCTTGCTTGAAATCATATANTCTCTGCATCATCATCCACAAACACCCTCTTCCTCAGCAGCATAAACACTCTGCCCATAAACACTCAGCAGAGAATCTCTACAATAACCTCAATCATTCAAATCAACAACAGCTCAGCATAGACAATCAACATTAACCTCAGCAATTCAATTCAACAGCAGTTTAGCATTGAAAAACAATAATAACCTTAGCAATTCATTCAGCAGCAGCTTAGCATAGAAAAAAGTATTATTGGATAAAGATGGTTATCTTGTCGATTCCCATCAAAAGTTCCAAGGAATTCAATACCAGGAAACCATAAATACCTGCATAAACTTAAACTTTGCCCAGTTAGCAGCTCTTAACATCGTCTCTGCATCATCATCCACAAAAACCCCAACAGGCTCTGCCCCATATTCTCTTGAAAATTTTGAAATCTCGTTAGCAACTGCAAGCAAAACCGAATGCTTGGAGTTTGGCCAAATAATCATTCCAATTAAATTAGCACCAGCTTCTGCTGCCATAGCAGCATCTTTAGTTGATGTAATCCCATGCATCTTAACCAATGGTACATTCTTTTCACGCTCGTCATCGTTAAAAGAAAATTTCTAAGTTCCCTCCCCTTACGCTTGCAAATACACAATCTTAGCGTGATTAGTAATGTTTAACGTGATGAAAAAAGGAGTTTAACATTTTACCTTGGATTGGCCTGCTGTGGAAGTTAAAAATTTTGAGCTGAAATAGGCCACCAGTACTCAATCCTGATGAAAAAATGAACAAACATAATGTGAAAAAAAAATTTGAATTGCAAAACAAATAAGTATATTTCTAAAGAGGAACAGCAACAAAGGGGCATTTTGAAGAAGACAAAATAATAAAGGATTACAATCAGGCTTGCTAAATAGGAAAAAAAAAATAGAGATCGGAATAATAACAGCTATATTACCGATGAACAGCGAAGCAATCGATGCATGGAAAGATCCCGTACGTTACCGATGCCAGGTAAAACACATCTACAATCAAAAACAATTTAAAAAAAAAAAAATTAAAATAAAAGTCAAAATTTTGAAGATCCAATAGGAAATTTCAGTAACTCATAATTATTTGATGGCATAATCCTAATTCAGTATAATGATGTGGGTATTTACGTAATTGAATAAGTTGATTAGCCATTAATTAATAAAAAACTAAAATATCAAACTTTTAAGGGCATTTTAGTCTTTTCACTATTAGCAAACAGAAATCACTAACAACACATGACGGAAGGTATCTATTTGTCATTTTCAAACCTTTTGGGTACCAATCATCATTACGAAAAACCTTAGGTAGGTGTAAGTCGGTTCCCCTTTTGCTCAAACCCAAAAAAGTACATCAAACGATGGCCATTCATGATTCCATGGACCTAATTAATATTCTCAAAGTGATGAAATTGACTTTTAATGTAGTTATATCGTGCTGTTACATAATTAGTTTATAGATCTATTAATGTATCAAATACATAAAAATGATAGAGTTACCGAAAATTACACATCGAATCCATACACCGAATGACGTGATAAAATCATGACCGTTGATTAATATTAACTTATAATGAATCAACGGTCAGGATTACGTTATGTCATTCGATGCGCATCCTTCGGTAACATTACTCATCAAATACAAATGATAAATGGGATGGAGTCAATCACCTGCTCGGCAGCTAATCTCATTTGAAATAATACATGGATCCACCAAACACGACGACTTCATATTTACATTCTATTTCTTTATTTACTGAGTGCTTTGTTTTCAACTATGATGACTCTGACAAGCAGAATACAAGGAGATGATCCGAGCAGAAAAGAGCAAAAGTTATGGGTGGGAACATGAACATCACAACTCATTCATTAGTTAATTACTGTCTGTGTAGACAACAAGAATTAGGTAGAAGTAGAACTAACTAAACCATTATATATTATTTCACATTATTAAGACCTGGCTCATATCTCGAATAGGTTATTTCAATTCAATTTTTTTATTATATTATTGAGAATTGTGTAATTTCATTGTTGTAGGCTTAATGATATTAATTCTTTTAAGAGATGATATAATAATAAAAATTCTTCTTAGATTTTTAAAATAACAAAAATCCTTCCAGTGGATTATTAGTAAACTGTTAAAATTTATACTACCACGGGTTAGAAAATATTACCCAAATTATTCTGTTTAAAGTTTCAGCATTGATCATAATCATGTATTTTATTCAAGTAAAACTCAGATCAACATAGAATTATATTTGCTTTCAATATCTAATTTTCTTGCAGATAATTATTTTAAATTTTCCAGCTGGTTTCACTGTAAGATGTGGGAAATTTCATTGGTAGGGTAGGGTAACGTACAAAGTTTATTATTTCCATTGATTAAATTCCGATTCTAGCTTTATTCATTATAGTAAAAAATTTTGACATTGATAAAAGTTTTGACATTGATGGGCCGCGGATGCCCAGCTTTACCATCCTGAAAGTGACTTGAAAGTTCATCATATTCACATTCAATCCAACAAAAACTGAAGAAAGGTAGAAAAAGCAATACTATAATAAAGTGGAGAAAGAAAGGGTCAGGCATGGGAAATTTCCTGGCTCTTTCGCGGAAACTTCACTCATGAAATGGTCAGCACTTTAAACTTTCTTAAAGTTGATTGCACTAGTGTTATTATATATTTAATGGTGTGAATGGCAGACAAGAAGTAATCAAAAAATAATTCTTTATATTATTATATATTTAATGATGTAAATGGCAGACAACAAGTAATCATATATATTTACTTCTTGTCCTTTTGTGCTTTTCTTTCTTCTTATCATTTCACAGCACTCAATCATTCATCATTTTGCAGCCATGGAATTTCTTTCTTCAATTACTGTGGAGGTCGGAAAGTGCTGTTTTGCAGCCGCTGGTGATCAACTTGGTTACTTGTTTCATTACAACCACAACATTGAAAACTTGAAAAAGCAAGCTAAGAAGTTGGAAGATAGCAGAGACACGGTGAAAATGAAAATAGAATCTGCTAAAAGCAATGGAGAAAACATTTTTCCCGAGGTTCAAAGCTGGATAGCAGAAGTGGATAACATTTCCGCAAAAGCTGAACAGTTTTTTGAAGATGAAGACAAAGCCAACAAGAGGTGCCTCAGAGGGTGGTGCATTAATCTCAAACAACGTTATCGATTCAGTAAGGAGGCAAAGAAGCACACTCTGGAGATTTCTGATCGGCTCCAGGAAGTGGAAAAGTTTGAGAGTGTGTCTTGTCCTGCCCCTCCATCTGGAATTATATCGTCATCGAAGTTATTTTCTTCTGGCCCTTTCGGATCTAGAAATTCAATTAAGAAGCAAGTTATGAAGGACTTAACTGATAGTGACAGTGTCAGCATAATTGGAATATGGGGAATGGGGGGTGTGGGTAAAACCACGCTAGTTAAAGAAATCAGCCAACATGTAAAAGAAGCTAAGACGTATGATGTTGCAGTGATGGCGGTTGTCTCTCAAACCCCTAGTATTATGAAGATTCAAAGTGATATTGCTGACATGTTAGGTGTAACAAACTTGCCGGCTAGTTCTGAAATAGCAAGAGCAAGTTTCCTATGGGAGAGAATCAAGGAGAAGAAGAAGATCCTCATTATTTTAGATGACGTTTGGGAAAGAATTAAATTGGATGAGATTGGTATTCCTTTTGGGAGTGACCATAGAGGTTGTCAAATTTTAATCACCTCTCGAAGCAAAACTGTATGTAATCAAATGGAGTGTCAGGAGATATATACAGTTGAAACTTTATCAAAACAAGAATCTTGGGCACTTTTCAGTGAGATTGTCAACTCAAATGTCAAAACTTCTGACATAAGCTCTTTTGCAAGAGAGATAGCTGCTAAATGTGGTGGCTTGCCACTTGCAATTGTGATAATAGCAGGAGCTTTAAAGGGCAAGAACAAGCATGTGTGGAGAAACGCGGCACGACAACTTCAAAAGTCCAACCCATCTGACATCCCAGGCGTGGAAGGGATCTTATTTTCATCTTTGGAGCTAAGCTTGCATTATCTAGAAAAAGCGGAGTCAAAATCACTTTTCTTATTTTGTAGCTTATTTCCAGAGGATTACGAAATTCCAATTGAAGTTTTAGTGAGATACGCGATTGGTCATAGGTGGTTTAAAGTTGATGATACAATAGAAGATGTCAGAGATAGAGTTCATGCTATTGTAAGTACCATCACTTCTTCCTTTCTCTTAATTGATGATGATGATGGTGAAGAGTATGTTAAAATGCATGATGTAGTGCGGGATTTCGCATTAAACAAGATCCAATACAACCACCATTCTTGGTAAAGTTGGCATGTCTACGAGAGTACAAATAGAGATAATTGTGAAGATTTTACATGCATCTCATTGATGTCAAATATACTATGGAGCTACCTAATGATTTGGAATGCCCAAGTTGCAGGTTTTGATGTGGCAAGCATTTGAGAGTTTTTCCCTGAAATTTCTTTCAAGAATGAAAATCTTAATGTTTTAAACTTGAGTGGATTCACGCTCTTGTTGTTGCCTGATTCACTTTCATTTATTTCAAATCTTAAAACATTGTGTAGTGGTTTGCAAGTTGGGTGACCTATCAATGGTTGGAGGCTAAGTAAACTAGAGATTCTTAGCCTTTCCAGATCTCTATTCAAGAGATCCCTGTTTCTTTTAGCCATTAAGTAATCTCAGGTTATTAGATTTGATATTGTGGGAGTTAACACTAATACCTCATGGTGTTATACCCTCTTTTAAAAGTTAGAGAGTTGTACATTATAAGATTTGGCAATGGAATATGAAAGTGAAATTTGAAAAGCAATGCCAATCTTTTGAGTTAGAACCTTGTCCCGATTGACTCATTTAGAGATTAATATTCCAAACCTTGACCTCTCACCAAAATTGTTGGTATTCCAATCCTGTCCAAATTAATTAAAAAAATGTATAGTGATTTCGGTGATGATTATTGGATGGAGAGATACACAAGAAATATGAATGTCTCAAAAACCACATTTCAAAAATCATGATTGGTTAGAGGTTTGCTCAAAAGAACCGAGTGGCTAGTTTTAGAGAAAATTGCTAATTTAAGAGTATTAGCCATAACCTAGTTGAAGAAGGGTTCAGTGATTGAAGTATCTTCATATCACATCTTGTGAATCATTGGTATTATATCGATTGTAAAGATATTAGATTCAGAGGAGAAGCCAAGTTACTCTCATCGTTAGAGTATCTATTTGGTTGGTTGCCAAGTTGTCACATATATGGAATGGTGACCATCAATCCATAAGCCTTTGTAGCTTGAAGAGAGTCAACTTTGGTCATGCATATTAAAACTATTCACCAACCTACTCTCCAAAGCCTTATTTGTTTGGAAGAAATAGATAAGGTTTGTAATTTTAGAGGAGATCTTTGAGAAGAAAGAAACTTTGGATAGAGTTAGACCACACCATAACCTCCCAAGTTTGGGAAACCTAACTTCTATACAGATAGTTAGTTGTGCTAAATTAAAAAACCTCTTCACCCCTTCCATTGTCAAATGTTTGGTGAAGCTCAAAAGCCTTCAATTATGGAATGCTCAACAATACAGAAATTGTCACAAATGAGAAAGGAGAAAAGAAGCATCAATGAGAGGATAGTGTTTCCTAGTTTTGTACTACTTGGAACTTAGATATCTAGACAACCTCACTTGTTTTAGCTTTAGTCATATTATGAATACCCGCATTGGAGAGGCTAGAGTTATGTGGATGTAGAAAAATGAAGACCTTTGTTTATGGAGCAAGTGACACCCAAGCTTAACAAAGTGTTTTCAGAATGGGGTTATCGTTGGAATGGCAACCTGAATGTCGCGTTCAAGAGTACTTCATTGAACAGGTACATACTATATGAAAGAGCTACATCTCTTGTAATTTATTGTAAGTTTTACCATTTTGCATTGATGACTTCTCATTGATGCACTTTTTAAATTAATGTAATAAATATGACATTCAAATCAATAAGTAACCATATCCTATGTTTTAGATTTGAGATATAATGATAAGCTTATCAACATTATGCCTACCACTGGCCGTTGGTAATGTTTTTGACCTTTTTATATGCAATCTTTTTCACAACCAGGGGGATGTGATTGTTCTTTCTCATTTTCTTTATGTTTCTAGTTTGTGATTGTTTTTTTCAATATATATTTAAATATAATCTCATTATATTAATTGTGTGATATTTTTTATATTCTATATTTGAAATTATACATTTTAAATATAAAGTTCAAGGGGGTGTTTATTATTAATAAACTATTGTTTTTGTACGCAATCACAAGAATCGGATTCAAGTTAGAGTGAAATGGTATAGTTGTGTAATAACTCGTTATCTTACTGTGTGATAATTTTTTTTTTATATTCTATATTTGAAATTATACATTTTAATATAGTTCAACGGGTGTTTATTTTAATGTTTTTGTTTTTATAGGCGAATCTGACAGAAATTGGATTCAAGTAGAGAGTGAAATGGTAAAATTATGGTTTAAAACAATTATTTATTCGATATTATGTGACAACACACAAAATTGTGATAATTTGATTTGCTTAGTAATTCATTTGATTGTGATATATTCAATCTTGTTGGATCTTTTTTTATTTTTTATTTTTTAAAATAAAGCAATATTTAATTATCAATTAAAATATTCACATAAAAATTAGTTTATACCTTATATTGAATTTTAGGGTATTGTAGTAATTATCATTACATAATTAATTTTTTATTTGAAAATCCTTCCTAAAGTACATAATCACTTTCAAAATTTTCCTAAGACAAGTTACCCTATAAAATTTTAGGAATTGAATTAGAATCTCTTAATTGAAAAAGAATTTTATTTTTTTCATTTTTTAAAATTTTAGGATTGAAATTAGAGTCTAAACAAGAATTCACTCTCACCTCACGCACCGCCGCTCTATCCACCTCTTCCACGCGACACTACCACCACCAAACCGTCAGAGTCACCCTACTTCAAGCACTCGCCGGTGGTTCTCGTATCTTCCACTCCGGTTCAGTAGACACGACTCGTTCACTGACCCGTGCCGATCCCGCGGAGATTGTTACTTTTGGGACGAGTGATTGGCAGTGGTGAAGAGTCGATTCTTCTGTTCAAACTCTGATTTCGGTGCTCGATGCTTATCATAACCTCTCTGGCTTCCCTTGGTAAAGCTTGCTCTTGTCTAGCTTACTTTTGTGTGTAAATGTGTTTCATGAAGTGGAAATTGTCACAAAGCGCTATAAAATTGCTCTCTCTTTGAAAGTTTTTTTCTTTCTTTTAAATTCTTTTATACTTCCTTTCGTAGTGAATGAATTCACTCTTGAGATGTTTTGTTTTAATTAGTTGGTGTAAGAGACTTTAGTGGGGTAATTATTGCTACTTCGACTTTGGCATTCAGACTTGCGTTGCTTCTCTGTTGTTGTTTTGCAGCTTCTTAAGCTGCGAAAATAGGAGAGTTATCTCCTAAATGTAAGTCTGCTTTTTCATTTCCACTTGCAATTTGTTTGTAGCTCTAGTTACTTCCGTTCTTTGGAGTTTTGCCAGTACACATTCGCTAGAGAATAAACTTGAAAACACAAATGCAGTAGTGTAAATTCTACTATATGCTAGTTTCTTTCTTGAAGGTGTGATATCATATATCGAAAGTGACCGAAGAGGATATCTGGATTAGGATTTATAAAACCTTTATATTTGTGGAATTTTTAAGTTATGCTGGGATTACTGGCTTGTTAATAATTAATGAGAGGTTGTCAGCTACATGAACTATTAACAATAAGTTTAGTCGGCATATTTTCCAACTTGAGTGTAGAGCGTGGCAGAATATTGTTGATTTTTTTTGTTTTTTGCTTCACCTGATGGGCATTGTGGTGTCCTTAAAGCCTGTATCTGATGTACAGACTCTTGACCATGATTTGTTTGTTAAGGAGTAGAGTAAGTAGTTTTTGGGGGTCAATACGTAAGGAGAAGAGAAGGAATGATTTCTTCCTTGAATTGAAGGTTTCTTCCAAAAAATCGTCTATCTGATGCTCAAGTTGTATCATTGTCTTTGATGCCGTCAAGTTTGGTAGGGCATTTATGCACACAATGGTCCATGTACCAGTATAAGTTTCTGTTTCTGTTGTGCATGTGTTTTTTTTTGGTAGACATTCAAGTGAGCTGCAGTACTTATTAACATTGTCTGATATGTGGAGATATTTATTCTCTTTCCCTGCATAGAATTATGTAATTCAGACTTGCCTCCGAGGTTGCGAGTCGTATGTAATTCTATTCATCGTCCTCATTAACAGTTGTACTACTATCATTCTTCTGTGATCTTGCAGGCCATTCTCCCTCTCCCTTTCATTGTTGTTCATATATTTATTTGCAATGAATTTTTTTTACTCTCGTATGCATTCTCATAGTGCCTCCACCATTTCCACCACCACGTCAGGAAGGATTTCATTGATCAAATTTCACTTTTTCGGAGGGAAACAAAACAGTTGGGTGTCCCTCATTTATGTGGTTCCTTGCCTCCTTGTCCATCCAGGTGACACAGCTATATATATTGTGTAAATAACTTTACCTTTCTCTCCCATCTCAAGCCAAGACACACAGACATAGAAGAAATTCACATCTTCTAACTGAAAGAATAGTAGATTGGGTTAGAGGAGTTTGAGTTAGATTCAAAGCCTGGAATCTATATAGAGGGCCAGTTTTTCTGTACTATTTTCTTTCTTTGCTTTTTTTTTTTTTTTTTTTTCTTAATTCTTTGGTATTTTGATGTATTTCTTCGGTCTTTTAGGCTGAAACTTTTAGCAACAGTAGCCTAGTATATAGTTGGTTGAATAATTTTGTACTTATTTATTTTGTTGTGTTTTGTTCAATTCTTCAGGTCCCATGTGTTCTCTTGGTGTGACCAAATTCAGAAAATGTCATGGAGGGTCATCCAGGGTTTGATCGTGTAAGGCACTAACATGCTTAAATATTTGTATAGAACAATAAATATATATGTATTATGCTTACTACAGTAATATCGTCTTTATGTATTCATAGATTATATCTAAGGGTTACCAATCTTGTTATTACTTCTTTTTGGATTCCAAATGACTTGATATGTTTCTGAACCATACAATCTGGCCATGCTTCTTGCAGCATAAATTTTATAATGATGACATATGACAATTACACATCTATTTCTATATTTTTGTTGGTTCTCATCTTTAGTTTTATAGTGAATGAAACATTTACAATTCTTAATTTGGTGCCAAGTTCTCTGTTTTATCTTTATATTCTCATCATGAAGGAATCTTTTTACTTTCGTTCCCCTGCTTATGTCCTCATATTTTTTTTTGAATGTGATGTTATTTTGCTATTGGAGCATAGAATGTATGATGCTCTGCCATGGAATTTATTTGGTGGGACTTTGTGGTTCCAGAACTTGACTGAATTCCCTCATGGTCTTTTAGGCCCCATCTTTCCTAGTGATAGCTGCTCTACACTCCTCTAATGTTGAGGTATTTGACTCTATCAATGATTAAATTTTCAAACCAGGTTTGTCAGTTATTATGTTCCTTCATCTTTCTGGGTATAGTTTTGTGATGCAGACACTCCCTAAATCCTATCAAGCTGAGTCCCCTGTTATTTATTTATTTTTATTTTTTGTTTTTGGGGGGGGGGGGGGGGGGGTGGTTATTGTGAATTAATATTACATATTATGAGAATTTTGCTGGTCATCTTATTATCCAGATTTCTTTAGGAAATCACTTGAAAGACAAGAAGCGATGCATGGCTTATCGACAAAAGAGTTGCGAACAGTTTTGTTTAGGTTTGCTTACTGCATATTAGTAAATTCTAAATTTTTTACTGTCTAATTTTATGTTCACGTCAATTGTGAGAGATAAGAATGGCATAAAATTTCCCCTGTAATATTTATACCATATTTAGTACAAATTATTTATCTTCCTTATTGCGTATTACAAGAGATATTTTGGATGTCTAGACGCTACCTTTATTTTGTTCCATGATTTTAAATCAGATTTCCCTTTTAGCTTACCTTCTTGGATATTTTTATTGTTTATTGAGATTCACAGTGAAATTTATTTGTTCTTGTATTGTGTC